CTTTTCAAATTATGCATAACTTGGGACACAAAGATGAAACTTCCTCTTGCAACATCTGAGCTACTCTTTGTTCCAAGGCTTCTTACAGCTGGCCTCACTTTTCTTTGGCGCCACCCTCATGGATGGGGTAGGTTTAGAGTTGGGAAACCAGATTGCCCAGGACTGAATCCTCTGAGCCCCACCTCTCACGGCTTCCAGTGTGTGGAAAGTGTGCTGGCCTGAATGGCAACTGATTTGGCTTCAAATCCCAGCTCAAAGTCAGTATTCCTCCCATGCTTTTGTGTACTAGAGTAAAAAAAAAACAGGGACCAGAAGTGCTGCCAAGTTCCCACTAACCTTGTTCCTCAATTGAAGACACTGGGGCATGAAGATGGGAAACTTTAACGACTATGGATTCCTCTGAGGCTGTGTCAGAGGAGAAAAGAGTGGACTGAGAATAATTCATTGTTCGATTGCTCTTAGCAAAGAAAATTATACGTGATGACTAAAAGTCCATCTACTTGGGTCCAAATTCTTACTGAAGCAATCTACTAAGTACTGAGGATTGAACTCAGGGGTACTGGACCACTGAGCAGCATCCCCAGCCCTATTCTGTATTTTATTTAGAGATAGTGTTTCACTGAGTTGCTTACTGCCTCGCTTTTGCTGAGGCTGGCTTTGAGTTCGCCATCCTCCTGTCTCAGCCTTGGGAGCCGCTGGAATTACAGGCTTGAGCCATCGCACCCGGCAAGAGATTTCTTGAGAGTCATTTTTAAAGTGGTTATATCTCTTGGGCCTATGATTAATGGGTAATTTCTATTTTATCTTTTTTATGTCTTCTCTGCATCTTTTACTAATAATTAGTAATATTAATAGAATTAGTATTATTAATTCTGAATCAGAACAGGTAGTTTTAAAAAAGGGTTTAATTGTGCAAAAGGAAGAGAACAGAGTGAAAGAAACATTAAAAAATTAATGATGAAAATTGACATTTACCGAATATCATGTAATATCTGGTGGACAGTAACCGACTCATTTATTCCCTCTCGACTCTGAAAAAGCTATTATCCCCATTTTATATATAAGAAGAAAAAGAAAGAAAGTCAAATAATTCTTCCAAGGTCACAGAGGTTTAAGTAAGTGCAATCACAAGGACTTGGTCTAGGTGGTGAAGTTCGGGGGCCCTGCTTTTGTCATAATGCTCTATTGCCTCTGAAATGATCTAAAAAATAATGGGGCTGGGGCTGGGGCCCAGTGGTAGGGTGCTTGCTGAGCATGTGTGAGGCACTGGGGTCCATCCTCACCACCACATAAAGACAAACAAATAAACGTGTCCATTTATAACTAAAAATATTTTCTTTTAAAAAATTTTTTTTAAAAAGCAAGCAAACTTGGGGCTGGGGATGTGGCTCAAGCGGTAGCATGCTCGCCTGGCATGAGTGCGGCCAGGGTTCGATCCTCAGCACCACAAACAAACAAAGATGTTGTGTCCGCCGAGAACTAAAAAATAAATATTAAAAAAAAAAA